CAACTAGTTTCAATAGAAAATCCGAAGACTTTAGAATCTGACAGCACCTGGATTCGTACAATATTTGTACAAGGTATTTCTTCACTGAGTCTGTTTTCTTATATGTAAGACAGAGATTAAAAGACATACCTTGCAGGGTTGCTATGAAGCTAAGTAATGAGAGCATTGATCAAGAATTAAGGTAACCTCTCCCTCCATGCCTTGTACATATAAGATGCACATTAATAGTAGTTATTACACATATACATTCATACTAAAAACATTAATAAGATTGAAGTTTTCTTTGCTTCAGAAAATGTCACGCTGAAAAGTTTTAGATTCCACAAACCTACTGTATTCTGAATGTCAGCTGCTCCTCCTTCTGACATTAGTAATTCATGGTGTGTCTTAACAGATAAGGAACAATAGCAGCATGTCTGTGCACAACACAGAATGTCTCTGATACTTTCCTAAGCTTCTAGAGTGAACTAAAATGCAGAAACCCTAAACTCCAATCTATCCCATAAGTCAAAATGTCCTCACCTGTGTAAGGCTTCATGTTCTCACAAACACTAAACACCATGAAAGTGCAAACCATTAGTGTGAAGACAGTGCAACAGAGTGTGCACAACTAGCAAAAAGGAGAGAAGGGCAAGGATCGATCCAGGAAGCCACAGGTAGTTTGATGTAAAAGGAAAAAAAAAATTGCTTAGCCTCCAAAAGGCCAAAGCCTGAATTTTGCACTTCTTAACAGTACACTTTCAAAACCAAATCAGATCATATTGCTCTCTGACTCAAAGAGCTCCAGCTACTTTTTCTCTCACTCAGTGTAAAAGTGAAGCCCTCTATGGCCTACGCAGCCTACATGAGCTGGGCCTGCCACCAGGACAGCTCCGTGAAACCCTCTCCCGTTAACTTACCACCTTAATGGCTCCACTGCAGAAGACTGGCCTCTGACTACTTCCTGAACGTCAGCACGTTGGCAGGCCTGGGCCTGTCCACTTGATGTTCCTTCTGTCTACAGCGATCTTCCTTCTAGGTGCAAGGCCTACTCCTGTCTGCTGATTCAGGTCTCCACTCAAACATCACGCAGCCAGGCCTGCGTTCCCTCACCTTTCTATTTAAGGCACATCTCCCACCGTCCACCAGGACTCACTACCGCTCTTCCCCAGTACAGGTTCCCCGGCTTTTCAAAAGTTCACAATATGCCGCTTCGCTTTTATGAAAGACCTACATCAGTACCCATTTTCACTAGCTGAAAGAAATCAGAAGAGGTTTTCACTTTTAGGAAAAAGGTGAAAATAGCATCAAGCCACGGGAGAACCGGCACGTGCACACCGCAAGCAGTGTGAGGCCCCACCAAGCTCCTCCCCAGGAGCCACACTCAGCCCCCCAGCATCGAGGCAGAGGCACCCTAGCTGTGAACAGTGGCTGTGAGCGTCTGTGCTTTATCCCGATTTATTCTGTGCCTCTGGTAGCAAGAAGGTTTCATAGGACCACTCTACCTCTGGATAATGGGGGAAATATGTACTTACTATCACCTAAGGGATTACAAATTTAGTCAAGTGTCTCTTGTCTTTCTCTTCCCACTAGAATGCAAACTCCCAAGGGCAGTACTTTTTGCCTATTGTCCTCCTACTGCACCCCTAGGATCCATACACGAAGTAGTCAATAAATATTTGCTATAGTGTTTGAGGATGGCAACAGGGAGAGGCAGGGAGAGCTGCTAGTTTTCAAGGAATTTGTAAAATGAAAGTAAAAAAGAACTAAAAATACTCAGGATATATTTTTAAGGTGCGCGCACACACACACACACACACAAAAGAAGGTATTCATTAATACACAGTATGATTAAAGATTATGTTAAAATGGAGAAATTAACATAAATTATCCTGTCATTGCAAAATTATATATAACGTTGTTTATTTCTTGGTATCTTTATTTCTCTGTTATTTACAATGAGCTGAATTATTTGTTATTAAGAATATTTTTAAAAATAGCTGATACCACCTCTTATCTTTGGAATTCTATTCACTGCAAACTCGTTACTTTGACCCAAGAGAGGTCAAGAATGTCTCCAGAACAATATGCAGAGCCCGCTAGCTGGTCACCAAAGTTTGGCAAATGATTCATCTTTGGTTTTTTTATTTCAACAGCTCCCACAGCAGATTTACAGTTGAGGATGTCAGTGATTCATTCAACTGACCAAGGGCATCGCCACTGCATATAGTAACGAAGGGGAAGAAACCCACTCTAGTTCTTTTCATTTGTTTTAATATGCAAATGGAAAATATGTTAATACCGCTATCTGAGTAGATATTGCAAGAGTACTGAGAAGCTACACACACAAAAATAAAGTTCAAAAACATGCCGGTTTTATGTTTGATGCTAAGGAAGACCACAGCACCTCAATTGCGGCTATTTTCTTGTGGATATTTTTAGATAAATGAAAGGGAAGGAAAAAAAACAAGAAAAAAATCTGCTCCTCAAGAGCTTTGCTGGATATTCATTAGCTATTATGATCTAGGTTTCAGTTATGCTTACAGAAAGAAAGCAGCATATAAATAAAAAAGACGTGGAGGCTGATAAATCATAAAACACCTGCGTATTTGGGTAGCACCAGTGTCTGACATCTTTCTACCACTCAAAGCTATAACCTGAGAGAAAACAAAAAGAAAGAAAAAAATACAAAAAAGTTTTGGAAGTAAATTTCTTTCTCATAAGCTTCAGTCTAATCCATGGTTGATGAAGCCAGGAGACAATATTCTCACATCTTTGATTTTATTTTAGCCGTTTCCAGAAAACACAGTAATGGAGATACATACTTCTATTTATATTTGATGCTAAAAGTTTAAATGTAGTAGGTAGCTCAAATTAATTCTGTGTTCCATTTTAAGCCCCTATGTTTAAAATATTTGTGTACTTTATTTCTTAATGTAACTTACAGTGTTTTCAGTGAAAACTGTTGCTTGATTTATAGAGTAGATTTTTATTACTTCAAGCTATTTGCTATGGATAAATTGTAGTGACTATACCCAAGGAAATGGTTTTAAACTCTTTCCAAAAGAAAAATTTAAGAGTATAAAACACTGTAATTGTGTATTATGCGAATTAAGAGCTATATTCCTGTAAGCCTAAGCAAACCAAGTATTTTATAATATGGCAGATATATTTGGAGAGTTAACAGCATACTTCTGGGAAAATAATAATCAGGAATAAAAGTTAAATTAGTCACAGATGTCAATGAAGAAAATATATGTTCAGCTTTTGCTGCCCTAAGACGGAGACACAACAAATTGCAGGGGCCAGTACAGCTTACCTTCAGAATTCGGGTTTTCCTGGCAGGTGTACGTTCAGTTGTCAAGATCAGCTGACCTACTATAGCTCATCAACTATCAGCTGGGGAGGGTGGACCGAGGCTCAGAATCCCTCTGGAGACTGTCAGACTACACAAACCTGTTTTCCACAGACTCCACTCTGCAGGGAATTTTAAATGAACCACTTTCCAGAATCTTTTAAAACAGATCCTCCTAGAGATATGCCTTTTCCAACAAGATCACCTTTATCCCATTTCATAAGACAAAAGCAAGCCTGTCACCTAAAACGGACCTCACTTTGATATATATTTCTGCAGGGTAAGCCCTCTATGCATATTTTGTATACTGGTAGCTAACAGTGTAAGAAAGTGAATGACTCTCATGACTAGGTATAAAATTATCAATTCTTTAAACAAAGTGAAGGAACTAACTGAGCTGTCACTGACAAAAATTTTTTTAAACAATTTTGATGATTACTCAGTTATTTTACATGTAATGTGAAGGAGTATGTGGTAGGCTAATCACAGCTCCCAAAAGACAGCCACACCTTAATTCCTAGAACCCGTGAAAGTTACCTTACATGCCAACATACAAAAGGGCTTTGAAGGTATGTTTGATTTACAGATCTTGAAATAAGAAGGCTATCCTGGGTAAACCCTAGATGCTACTATTCCTGTAACACAGAGGCAGAGGGAGACTTGACACAGACAGAAGGGGTGGACACAGTATGGCCTCAGAGGTACAGATTAGTGTCGTGCACCATCAGCCCAGGAATGCCAGCTGTCACCAGAAGCTAGGAGTGGCAAGGAGCAGATTCTAGTCCAGAGCCTCTGGTGGAAGCACATCCCTGCTGATTCCTTGTTTTCAACCCAGTTTTACTAATTTCAGACTTCCAGCCTCCAGATCTGTGAAAGAATAAATATTGTTTGTTTTAAGCCACCAAGTTTGTGGTGATTTGTTATCGCAGCCACAGGAAACTAACAGAGAATTCAAGGAATCGAATGACATCGCTGTAACAAACCCCTTCCTCTGGCATCTACGTATTATGGGAACATATTTTTTAACACCAGTATCTGTAAAACTAAGAAAGGACAAAATGAAATTATTGCCAAATACTGTCTTACTCTAGCAGAAGAATGAAAATTCTTTTTAACCTCTTAAAAGATTTGGTGGAAAAAAAATCTACATCTTGAAATACAGAGATGCTTTTCTGATTTAAATTTTTTAAAAGGTTACTCTTTAAGACTTAAAAATGTAAAGGAGTTATTTATTTCTCTATGAAAAATGCAGGGTGTCACATAGATAAAGAGAACCACCATTGTGAATACTTCCCATGTCTGCAGTAAAATCGATTTAAAAATAGTCCACATAATAGCATATCTTACAAACTTCTTATGGTGCCACTAAAGATTATTATGAAATTTATCTTTTCATCAATTTGAACTCTATGTTTTAGCTCCCAAATTCCCATAGATCATTATTTAAATAGAGAAGGGTGGCAAATGTGTAATATTTCTATCCTTACTTCCATTTTGTGCTACCTTCTTTGTCAACAACCAACATCATAAGTAAAGAGGGTACAGAAAAGGACCATTCATAATTCTCTTCAGTTTATCTATATCTGAAGAATAGAATCATTTGCCACACGACTGGAACCATAAGGGGTAAGGAAGCAATGATGTGACTGTGCGTCTGTATCCTTACCTAGACCTACGTGAGGCAGGTGCTCAAAAAGGGTCCAGCTGTGGTCATCAATGTAGTGATTCTTCAGGATCAACAGCTGGCAAACATCCCGGGCAGTTATGTCACTGGGCACCTCTAAAGCTCTGCTGGTCTCATCTTCACTGTACACTTTAATTACCTGTGTAGGTAGAAATAAGAAAATGAGCTAAAATGTTCTATTAAAAATATAATTCTAGTAAGTCATCAAAGTTATTGGTTGAGATGATTACAAATTCCTTACTCAACTTCTTATACATGTAATTTTCTTATACTGAGTCCTTCCTAATACTTGTCATAACAAGTATCAAAGTCACTTTGTCCAATAGTTTCCACTCTCTTCAATGTCTACAGGCCATTCAATGACCATTCAATGTCACTTGCCCACCACTTTAATCTATTAAAAAGCTATGTGTCTCTTATCAATATTTTAAATTCCCATTCTGTATTTAAATCCTGTCAATAATCCAAGGAACATGGATGATTTATTCCTAGATATACACAAGTAGTAAAAAGCAGTAAACAGACTTTGTGAAAAGATTTCTCTATTTCAAGTTTTAGAAATTTAGGCAGAGACTGGCTAGACGGTCACCAAATTCTTTTTCTTTTCTCCTTTGCAATTAGTTTGTCCGTAGGATTGAGTTTTAGTCAATGGAATGTAAGCATACGCAATGTATAACTTCCATGTTAGCCCATAAAAATCTCCCCCACATCATCCTCCACTCTCTATGCCACCACCACACTAAACGGAAATGACTTCCCAGACTGAAAGGGGAGGAAAGCCTTAGAAGGAGCCTTTACCCCTGAATGACCAGACGGAAGGTGCCCGACTAGGAACTCCCATGTAGAGCTTTGACATGAGCAAGAAATAAACTTTTATTGTGTTAATTCCCTATGAATTTGTATTTATCTATTACAGAAGCTAAGGCCACCCTAAATTACACAGAATTAAGAGGGACTCATTTTCTACACTTCCCTAACATTTACCAAGTTGTGCTGTGTCCTAGAATTTCCACTACTGATTACAGTTAAGTTGCATATTAATAAAATTATAAGAAGATAAATACCTATGACAATAGCATAGTAAGATCAACACACACATACACACACATGTGGGAAATGACATGACAGTTCAATATTAGAAATACACCTGTTACAAAAATAAAGGCATTGAACATTTTTAGTAATTCAAACAAATACAAATTAAACAATGCATCAATTCTGTCCTATCAATTATTTTTAATTACATTTAGTGACAGTGCAGTGAAATAGTTGCTCTCTTACAATAATAGGAATGCTATAAATTGGTGAAATTATTTGTACACATATTGGAAAGTATTAATCAAAAACATTAAAAGATCCATTCCTTTGATTTAGTAATTTCACTTAGGCAAATAATTTCAATAGGTCTGTCCTAACTGTGGAAAATGACTTTAGGCATAGACATACCCAGGACAGCATTGTGTATCAACCTAAATAACCAACAATAAAATAAATGGTAAACTACAGTACTTTCACAGAATGGAATATTATATGGTAGTTAAAAATGTTACTTAAGCAAACTATGTAAGAACTTTGAAAAACTCTCAAGGAAAGTAAGTCATGACATCAGAGTCTATGTTACATGATCCAGTATAAACTGACTCGTTGGACTGGACTGGCTGCCAGGCACCAACCTCTTCTTCAAACAGCACTGTCATCGCTTCCTAGACCCCCCTCTCTCCCTCCCTCTCCTCCAGTCTTTGTGATTTTGGCAGCTCACTTTCAGCTCGGCCATGGTGTGCTGGAGAGGCTGGGACCCCCTGTCCCCTTGCAAGAGCTGACCATTAATTATTCAGGAGTTGCAAGTCAGACATCCTGAAATGAGGCATGGTGGGAGTGTGTACACCAAAGAAACTGGCAAACACTACAAATTACAAATAAGGCCATTAAAAAAAGACATTCTTTTTAGAGCCAGTTTGCCAGTGCACTACTGCCCCTCTGTTACAGTGAGAAGATGTTACCCAGATTGATCCTCGGCACCCAGAATCCCCTTGGCAACAGTGATTCTTTTCCAGAGATGGGCACATGCCCCAGTCAGACCCAGACAGAGTCAGACTGGCCCTCTTTCCTCCTGGAAAGACGTAGGGTGGAGCTGTTGTTTTCATACACACAAAAAAGACTGTGGGAAAATGCAGCTTGTTACTAAATCTTAAAATGGGTGTAGGAGAGGCCCAAAAGATATCCATGAGATAATGATATTTAAGCCAAGACCTGAAGGAGGGGTGAGCAGTAGCTTGGTGAGGGAGCAAACACATTTCAGGCTAAGGGAACAGCAGCTGTGCAAGGTCCCTGGGGCAAGAAGGAACCTGTCAGATTCCGAGGACTGAGAGGAATCAGGGATGGGAGGAACAGCGAGCAGGGAACATGGTCCCGAGGGAACTGAAGTGGTACATGTGATGGTGGTAAGAGGGATGAAAAGATCCGAAGTTGAGAATTGACTTAAGAATCATTGAGCTTTTGGTAGTAAACAAATGCATGGAAGGGCATATATCTGACAAGGGGGAAAAGGATGAACAAGGTAAAGGAGAATCGAACGCTAAGAAATTCTAATATTTAATAGTGAGTTAGGGGCAAGAAAATGTGAAAGATAAAGTGAAGCAGAAAAAGAACCAGGGCAGTGGGGCCCCATGGACTAAAGCCCAAACTCTTTGGCAAATTCCTACTCTGCAGTTGGACCCAGTCTCCAGGTCACCTCCTCTAGAAAGTCTTCCTTGATTGCCCATGGCTCTTTCATGCTCGTATTTTGCAATATCTATTTGAATGTCTTCTTCTCAACTGTACTACTAAGCTCCTTTAGGGAAAATCTCTATTTTTTCACCATTTGACATCATATCCCAGGGACCTACCCCAAGGCAGAGTATGACAATAAAGAACTTTGGAACAAATGAGCTTTGTACCTCTGCAAAGCCTGTCAAAGTGTGTTGTACATTGTTAGTACCAAATACATATTTATAAACTTTAAAATTACTTTCTTTCACAAAGTATATGATTAATTAAAATTATTCTCAATGATCTCCAGATATAGAAGTTTTCTTACAAATAATCCTAGGTAAGAATTGACTCAATATTAGCAGGCAGTTCTGAGTTTCACAGTCACTGAGGTAGCTATAAATATGAAAAACATCATGAATATACACTACCCAGATCAGTCTGATGCAGTTGTCTGAGCTTTCACTTCAACTTTATTATATTATTATTATTGTTGTTGTTGTTGTTGTTATTATTATTAGTAGTAGTAGTAGTAGTAGTATTTTGGTTAATACATACAGTTAACTAAGATCCTAAGATCTGTTTGGAATGCGCACTGTTTGCATGATTCCATCCAGATAGGTTCTTGTTCTCAAGTGCGCGCCTTCAGTATTTGTGCCTATGCTAGAGGGCTGGTGAGATCTAAGCGATGCCGTCCACCGTTTATCCACACCGCTGTGGTTCACACTGACTGCATCAAACACCAGGGGATGCTCCTGCCAAAAGCAGTGTCACTCCTGAGAGGGCAGAAGGATCCTACCCTGGGGCTGCTCCTCCATGGACGGCAATGATAACCACTATTTCATTTCCCTCCTTCCGTGGCAGGAAACAGGGAATTGGGAATGACCTGGTGGCCGCAGGATAGGGTCCGTGAGCTTCCCAACTGCCCTATGGTTTCTTACAGTAAACTCCCATCGCCCGAGATAAAGAAGCATGTCTCTTAGGTTTCCTGCTCTATCCTTTATAACTAAGCAATGAAAAACTGGAGTCATTCGGAGGCCTAAGCCAAATTTAAGAAGAGGAAAAGCCCAGAGCAAGAGGTAAAGCTGCAGGGAATGAAAAAGGCATCTCCCCAATGAGGAAATGCCATTATTGTCCTCAGACTATGTTGCTGCAAATTTGAAAGAAATGTTACCCAGAATCAAGACACACACGGTCAGAAGGGCTATAGGCCAACTTAAGCTTCTGGAATGATGCATGTCCTCATTTTTTTAAGTAAATAACATAACACTTGCTGGAAGAAAAACTTAATACTTTTGTTTGAGCTCCATTTGAAACACTTATTTTTTTAAACCCTACTTAATGCTGACATTTGTCCAAAAAACACATTCTTCTATGAGTGATAAAATGATATTTTGGTTGATATTCCACAGCAGTAAATCCTTGTCATCTCTCAGATCTATTCAGCAACTGTGAAAAATTCCTTGTACTACCCATGGGGTGTGTGTGTTTAAAAATTTCATTTTATTTCTATTTACTTCTCCTTAAAATACATGAAAAAGGGAAAGATAATCTAAGCCTTAACTCTCTAGCAGAGTTGAATATGGCTCTTGGCAAAAATATTACTACAATAAACCTATTTAAGAAAAAAAGTCAAGGTATCAGAAAAGCTACATGACTAGCGTGGATTAAAATTAAGTTAAAAACTTTTATGATCTTGTAAAAATCAAATAGCAGAGCTGTTCTTCAGAATCTTTAAGGCAAAAGAGTGGTATCCTGTTCCCTCCACACACTGAGAGGTAAAAAAGAGATTTAAAAATCATATAATCATGCTATTTACTAAAAGAGTATTATACATTTCCAGTTCTGTAGTCTGAATTCCCAGCTTTCTTTAAAAAAATAAAAAATAGGGTAAGAAGAATATATTTCATATCAATTGATCTACAAGATAATTTGAAATTGTATGCCTACAGGGATAAATCCTGCCTGGACCCTAAAGAAGGACAAGAACTTCTTTCACCAGTGAATAGACACTTGACTAGCAGGACAGACATGCACAGACATCCCACCAGCATAAACAGTGCACGCCGAAGGACAGCCGACGGTGGAAACACAGGCTGTGTTTAGGACGCCCTTCTGTGTCACTTTAATCCCAACAATCAGAGCAACCTTGGCCTTTGGAATGGTTTATAACTTCAAACACTGTTCTGGGAGCATCTGGCATCTGGCAATGAAAACGTAATCCACGGATACAGTCGCCCCTGCAGGGAATGTGCTGGAACGTGGTGGAGCAGATCCCTCTTTCGGCTGACATCCTTACCAAGACAGCTTATGTACCTTCTGCTCAGGTCCCCTAGACTGCCCATAAAAAGTAAGTGGAGGCAAGAGATTAAAAAATTAACAACACCCAGT